GATGTCATAGTCTGGCCCTGCCCTGCCCTGGGCCTAGGGTCCAGAATTGACCGGCCTATGGCCTAGTGCCTGAGCCTAGCTCCTACCTATGATGTCAGAATGATGTCATGGTCTAGAAGGAGTCTGGTTTCTATCTAGAAAAGGTCCGGCATCAGAGTCCAGCCTGATGTGTCCAGAACAAGATCATGTGTCGCTTATTTAAGCGGATAACCCCTTAGATATGTAGATGTACCCATATGCGGACGGATAAGTATGGATAAGTCCCTATACCCTTTGATATGTCCGCAGAAATAGCGGAAAAATTAGGTAAAATTAGGGAAACTGTGACACCTGGGTGCAACCTCAAGGGACTAGAGAGACGGATTATAGTCTAGTGAGAGGGGAGTTAGCAGCAAGGTGTCCCGCGGTTCGAGTGAACACGAGAAATGCCCTTGGAAAAGGCTACAAACGATGGGGAAGGTACGAGGTGGCTTCGACACGTCATCGAAGCTATTTGGAGGCTGTGGGTGGTTAGCGGAGATGATCAAAGCTCGGCAGAGCTCTTCGATGTATCGTAGAAGGAAGGGACATGACTCGAAGGGTGGACTTAGCTAGGGCGCGGTTCGCAGTTTCTTCGACAATAGTCGAAGTCGAAGGGTTTGTCAAGACAGTATCGACGAGTAAACGCAGTGGACGAGATTTCGAGGTTATGCAGTGAGGGACAAAGTGACGCAGTTCAAGGCTTAGACGCGGGGCGAACTCGACTTATGAGCTCTGAACTCGAGGGGGGAACCAGATCTTGTATTTTTAGAGAGAAGTACGACAGATTTTATACTACACAGGACACTATGACTATCAAAAGTGGCACACTGGTACAAGGGGCTTTGCATTGTTCCTCAAGAAGCTGCCTCACCGAGGGGCACATACCAAGTCCATCGGTAGAGTGACGTCATGCCGAACGCGGAGATAAAGAGCAACATATGGCCACTTCGGACCGGTAGCCATCGTGAAGGCATGCCGCGAGGTTCGATACCTAATCGGGAAAGACCAGCTACGTCGGTGTGGCATGTAGCGAAGCGCGCGCTTTGGCTGAGCGGCATCAAGTGGCCCTATTGTTCGCCGAATGCGGAAGATGTCCCGGGATCTACGCGCGAGGCATCGGGACGACCGTGCCGAGCTTCGAGTAGGCGTCATGCACCGTCGAAGGTGTCGAAGAGTGTCGAAGGCAAAATCAAAGTGTTGGGAGACTGAGTCGAAGTGCCGGGCGGGATGCGACTGCCGAAAAGAGGTGAATCGGGGCCCAGAGGGGCTTGGCACCTATCATCTCCTCCCTATTGAAATTTGGACCGCCCTCGGTCCTCCACGTGATGCGAGAAGCGCAATGGTCGTGAACGGATCGAAGCGGCATGACAACCTGCGTCGGTTTCGAACGCCACGTGGCCAGTGCTAAACGCTGGTCGGAAAGGGGTTATAAGCAGGGTAGACTTAGCCTCATTTTTCCCATCCCATCATTCCTTCATCGCTACCTCGTCGCCCCTCCTCGTATACTTGCTGCTTCAACGATGTCTTCTCGCTCCGCCACCCCTGCCTCGACGCCTTCGCTCGTCAACCGCTGCCTCACCTCCTTGCTCGTGGTTCTCGAGGCTCCGCCAACCGCCGACGCCACGCTTGACGTGGTCGAAGAGTGGGCACAAGACTTGTCGCCCCTCGTCGTAAGTCGCTTTGTAATTCTGCATAACCCAACTAACCCTTTATTTTCGAACAGCTCGCCTATCGCAAGGCCTTGGGCGCCATCCGCGACGAGGAGACGGAGCTGCGCGTTGCCGCTGCCGTCAAGCAACTCGCCGAGCGGGCGTTGGAGTCCTGGGTCGAGTGGGCACGCGGTGACTGGCCCGAGCTTGCGACCGCCATCGACGCCGAGGTCGAACGACGCGTCGAAGAGCAGAAGCGCCTCGCCGAAGAGGAAGCACGACACGTCGAAGAGGCCGTGAAGCGTGCGAAGGCCGCCGAGGACCGTCGCCTCGAAGACGAACGGCATCGAAAGGATGAAGAGGACCGTTGGAGACAGGCTGCCGAAGACGAGCATCACGCACAAGAGGCCACCGATGAGGAGTTGGCAAGGATCACGGCCGCCGAGGGACTTCTCGACAAGGGGAAAGGGTGCACGAAAGTCAACGAGGAGGTCGCCGAGTTGTCTGACAACCCTTCGATTGTAAGTGTTCTCTTCTACCGTCCTTCAATTACTAATCTTTCTTTCGTAGAAGACTCCTCGGACGGTCGAACACCCGTTCGCAATGATGGAGGCCGACATGGCCGCCGTGGCGATTGAGAAGCGTTAGGCCGGACAGAAGGTACGTTCGATGCTCCGTCGAGTCGGTTCGAAGCTAACTCTTCGATAGTGCGATCGTTGCGCCGGCTACTGCTTGGCCCCGGTCGATTGCGTGTGGGTTGAGAACGCTATGACCTGCGAGAGGTGCGCGCAGTTCCAACAGGGCTGCTATTTCGACAAAGTGTCTGTCCTGGGCAAGACAAAGAAGATGCGCAGCGGGGGATCAACCACCAAAAAGCGCAGTAAGTCGTTTCTTCTTCTTGTCCTAGGCCTTTGCTGACGACTTAGTAGTTCGGCCAACTTCTCCTGGGCCTTCAGTCGCGGACTTGAGTGGTTCGAAGAAGCGCCGAGTTGACGAGCCTCCGCGCCCCCTTCTACGACTGCCTCTCGATGGGGCCAGCCGCCTTGGGCTCGAACAGGACGACCTTGATGCACTCGACCTCGATGATGAGTCTCAGGGCATCATTCGCGTCATCCGCGAGGAGCGCGCTTTCATCGCGCGCCGTCGAGCGCTCCTACACGACATGGACCCCGACCTTCAAAAGATGGAGAAGGCAGCGCTCGCTAAAGGAGGAATCGGGTTTGTGCGCGGGGCTGTCGAAGAGGACTAGGTGATGGCGCGAGTTGTATTGTATCGTAGTTGTCCTTATGTCGTAGAGTATTGCGTAGATGGTCGAATGGAAAATGCGGCCCTTGGCCTAGACAAAACCTAGCGGGAACTAAGAAAAAGAGGAAATGTGTCACAGTTTCCCTAATTTTACCTAATTTTTCCGCTATTTCTGCGGACATATCAAAGGGTATAGGGACTTATCCATACTTATCCGTCCGCATATGGGTACATCTACATATCTAAGGGGTTATCCGCTTAAATAAGCGACACATGATCTTGTTCTGGACACATCAGGCTGGACTCTGATGCCGGACCTTTTCTAGATAGAAACCAGACTCCTTCTAGACCATGACATCATTCTGACATCATAGGTAGGAGCTAGGCTCAGGCACTAGGCCATAGGCCGGTCAATTCTGGACCCTAGGCCCAGGGCAGGGCAGGGCCAGACTATGACATCATATATGACATCATAGAGCACATGATACTTAGTAATCCTTACCCAGCTAGGTACCAGGGGTCCATTACCGGTCCCTGGGGGGTTTTCCCGTCCATGTATATAA